TTCATCACCTTAAACGAAATTGGGTGAATAATCCTTATAACTGATTTACTGGTAGTCACGAAAAACAATATATAATTCGAAAAATCTGTATGCTTAATTGAGAGACTTACGGCCTTTTTTGGGCCGTCGTCTTCTGATCTACTTTATAATCCCTTCATAATACGATTCCCCTCTAAATGAAAGTCAGTTAACTAATTGTAAATTAAGAGCTCTCGAAACCAAACTCCATTTTCTCTATACTCGTCAAATTAACAAGACGTGTCCAGCATTAGGCAATCAGAATGATGTTAAAAGAGTCCCATTAAATCTTGATGATCGGGAACCTAGGTTATGCTCTGCCCTAGTTACCTGGAGAAATTTATATACACATAACTACATGCTTTTTTATATTTATATAACAAAAACTGATCAAACAATTCTACACACCAAAATGCATAATTTTAGAGTATATAAATACACATATAATTGCATTTTGGCAAGGTGTAAAATTATTTGGTCAGTTCATGCCATACAATTATCAAAAAACCTGTATTTATGTGTGCATATATAAATATATCAGGTTTTCTCGACTTTATACCCTTAACTAGTTGTAGAAACGAAACCCTGCTCTGAATATGTTAGTCATGTAGCATAGCACTTTTTCACTGGACCGGAAATAGGACAGCATCAACCAAAAGGATTCGTTGGGGCTAAATTATAGTTGGTCATAAGGAGTCTGCTGTCGTCTTCTGGAAGTATCTGCCTTCGAATCTGTTTATCACCCACTCTCATTCAAAATGCAGATGAAGTCAACCATTTTTGGTGGAAAAATTTCTCGAAAACCTACTCTTTTCGTATATATCATATTACTTCTTATGCTACTTAAAAGATATTATGGCAGAGGCAGAAGGCAATTGGTGTGACTTTCAAATTATCCCATTGTCTATTATCGTGTTCATTGTAAGTTGCATCTCCTCTGTCGAGCTAGAATTTGTGGCTACAAGGGTTTCTCTAAAGCATATTCTTTCTTTCATAGTCTTACGAATTGTGTCATTATACCCGCTTGCAGATCTGGGCTATGTTCCCCTGCCCTGGCTAATGTTGGCAGGAGTCTTACAACACTTGTATTCTCCTTCCAGTAGATCCCTTCGCTTTCTGAGGTGTCCCGACGTCTAAGTGAACTATGTAAACGAGCCAATAGCAGCCTCGTTGCCTAGGCTCGAGGATGTTCACCCGTCTCCACAAGTCTGCCCCATCCGATTTTGGTAGTTAAAGCATCCGTTTTTCTCGCTCGTCGCAAGCACCACCTCGGCAGAACTGCCAAACCCGGTTACAGGCTTACATCAGACGGAAGAGTTGTAACCTGTCTGGGCGATTGCGCACACAAATGAGCGACTAGTTGCCCACCCCTCGTCTGAGTGCCCACATACGCTCACATGAAGATGGGCCAACAGGCGCTCAGACATGTGGGCACATTACCCTGGCACAGCAGACCGATTCCGACTAACACACTCGCATCAGGCATCGATGGCTATCGGGTTGGGCTGCACAACAGACACACTGCAGA